ATAGCGAAGAAATTATAGTCCTTGATTTTTAATGCCGTTATATGGCTAGTTTCAGGTGCTAAAAAGTTCATAGACGTAGACGATTCTTCTAAAAAATATGCCAATTTGCTTCCATTTATAAGATAAACTGATCCCAACCCAAAGCCCTTCTCTAACCCCAACCAGTAAACATAAACTGATCCCAACCCAAAGCCCTTCTCTAACCCCAACCAGTAAACATCTAATAAACAATTTGAGAATTAAAAAAGTAGTGGGGGAGGGGGGGAAAGTTGGATCTTGTTCCAAAAACAAATTGAACCGTATCACGTTTCAATTCGCCGCACTGCGCACACAACACGACCTCGCTGAATACAATCGAAAACATACATTTTATAGTAATATATGATGAATTGGAAAGTAATTTGGCACAAATTAATGTAATTGGGTGCAAATTTATAATTATGCAAATAAATACAAGAGCACAACGCATGTTTATGAGCCTACGTACAACGTATATTTATACTTAATAAAATAATAAAATAGTAATTTATACTTATAGTTAATTAAAAAGTCAAACTGTCAAACCTTTAACTTGTCCTTGTTTATATTCCATTATATGGGTCCAAATTTTGGGGTTTTCGAATCGTTACACAAAGAAAAACACACTAATTCAACATGCAAGGCCAGAGTGCGACACAACGTAAAATCCATAGGAATCTGGCACAATTCTTTGAAAATTCAACGAAACTGTGTGAAATATTTATTAGATCGCTCAGCGAAAAGCCACCATTTTGAAACTGAACTGAATATGTCACTGGACTTTGCACCCTGAGCCTGCAATGACCTAACGCAAACTCCATTTCTCATCGAAAACAGAAAAAGAGGAATTTAAGACACTTGGCCTACAGGCCAGTGTAATAAGAAAGGATTTCTTCCTATGTACACGTTTTCATGAATCGTTTTAAAAGTTTTGCTTATGGAGAAACACATTTTTTATACCTGATAAAATTTCTTTTGTCTTTTGAGAAGTTGTCTGTGCAGATGTTTCCTTCTTCCCACTGCGCGTTCATTTTCTCAGAAAGATCATTTTCTCAGAAAGATCCTTGGCTTCAGGCATGTAGCCATACACAAAACCATACTGGTGCTTCTCGAACATTGTTGCATATATATCTGAATGGTGTGAAATGCAAAGGTAGAACTCCCTCCAGAATATCGTGCATAATATCTGAAGGAAGGCCATCCACAACATGAAAATACTTGGAGTTGTTTAACTCAGATTGTGCCTTAACACCATAAACAGATTCAGGGTCAGTAGATACCATTGCAGCATGCGAACCAGACTGGCCCAATTTGCCAGGCTCCCCTTTTGAGCAGGAATTTCTATAGTGCTTGCCGGGCTAGCCCGCTTTGTGCGAAACAAATAACAACTTGGCCCAGCAAAGTGAGCTAGCAGAGCCAGGTTTAAGGGTCAGCTCAGCTCACATGAACAGGCCCCTAAAGCTAGTTTTCTTGAGTTACCAGTGGTCGTTATACCAGTGGTTGGTGACCATGGCCAAAGCATATTTCAATGGCTGCCAGACTGGAAAGTTTGTACTGCGCAACCGAGATCTCGGTTGCGCACTTTTTTGCAAAATGCGCGTCCAGATGCACAAATTCAAAAATCTGTCGTCAAACGCGCAATCTCAAAATGAGGCGCAGGTGAAATTGAAAATGTGCAATTTTTCAAGCGTGTGCGCGCATGAAATTAAAATTGTGCTATTTTTCGAGCGCGCCCTGTATGAGACAAATTAGTGCGCACGAGAAATGTCGCGAGACACAGGAAATCCGCAATTTTATGCGCGTCTCAAATTTACACATGCCAGCGGGGCCGCAAATTTTAGCCGTTTTGGGTAAAGAAATTCTGTTATTGATCGTTTATCCTCTTACTGATCATTTAAATTATGGCCGATCGAGTACTAGCAGCTCTTCTGAAGTAGACGAAGATATATCACCGAATAATGTAAAATTTGAAACGGACGAAGCAAAGTTTTCGCTTCAGCCGTATTTATTCGAACCTACGATTAAGAAAGGCTCCAGTTCCAGCAGCGACAGTGAAAGCCAAGCAGACGAAGAGGGTTTGAACTCTTCGGCTGACGAAAGTCGCTTGGATAATTTAGAATGAACGCGTTCCAAACTATTTTCAATAATTCCAAACTACTAAATCCACACAAAATATCCTTAATTTTGCAGAATTTGACTAATTTTTCTGCACAATTTAACCACGGTTAATAGAAGGAGGATGGTTAGGCTAGCTGGACCACGTGACAAATATGTTATTGTTCTCATTTTATTCATGTCACGTGACGAGATAGGGGGACGCTTCGCAGGATTGTAATAGAAAATATATTGTCGACATGGCTTTTGTGATGTATAAATTTACGTATTTTCGACTCTACGCCTGATTAGATCACGGATTTGATTTATACTTCGAAGTTCGGAATTATCAGATCGTATTCACAAGTTTTAAAGGTATTTTTGATTGATTTTGAGATATAACCACGCTACGGCTATGCTAAGTGTATATTTTCTGTATCATATTCCATTCTCAAGTGTTCGAGGATTTTCATACTTAAAGACGATACTTTTGGAGTTTGTCCGGGATAAACTGCTCTGCTTTTGGTCATGAGAGTTGCGGTAGACGCAATGAACGATAAAATACCCAGTGTTTTTAGGACGACGGATGGAGAACAGCTCGAGTAGAATTGCTAAGGCCGCTATTATTAAAGAGATCTGACGTCGGTGCGAATGTATTGATGCGAAACAAACAAATGAAGTAAATTGAACTAATATTACAAATGTATCAGCCCAAATCATGTGCCTATGCAGCATACTTTGGTATTTGCTCTGCCAACAAGACAACTCCAGACAATTTTACTTGTCATTGATAGTGATTTCTAGCTGATGTGTACTGTGTAGTGGACTATTAATTTAAAAGTAACATTTGGAATAGTCAAACTGATATCTGTTATTGAATTTTCAAATTAGTATCCTCAAAAAACCATTATATTATAATGAAGGGCATTTCTGCATGGTTCGGTTGCTAGCAGTGGCATAGCTAGCCCGACGATTTGAACCCGCTATGCAAATTTCAACTCATCATTATTCACTTCTTTAGAAATTATAACATTGTACCAGAATACTGTAACTACATACTTACTGAAATTTAAGACTGTTGAAGAATATTTATTGTCTACCACTATTACATAATCTACCCATCAACTGGCAATGCATGCAGATGCACCTACTTTCAAATTGGTATTTTACTCTGTCTAAAGCAATACAATTTTACTCATCAGTGGAAGAACTGCCAGTTAATGGGTTATTAACAACTATTAATATCCACCCTTGGATGGTTGTTCATTCAATTTGGGATTTGCAGGGTGAAGTTCTTCAATTGGCAGACCTCTGACCTCACTGAGTAGTCTAGGACCTGTATATGAGTTTGTATGCATTTCATTTAGGACAGATAATCTCAACTGTTTTAGGGTAAGTTGACCATGACGGTCAACATGGTAACGCTGCCCGAACCCCAATCCGGGGCGAAACGTCCGAAACTGACCACACCCAAAAACAACGCTTTCGCCATACTGCTATCTACCAAACCATAAAAACTTTGGCTATTCTGAGGTGCTTATATGGTTCAGAGATGGTACTTTTGGGGGTGGTCATTGGTAAGTGTGAAATGCCAAGCACTAATATTTCACAAGAAAATGGCCATGCAATAATCATAGTTAAACGTCAATTTGTGGCTTGCAAATTCAGATAAACAGCAGTGGACTTACATTACCTTTTTTCCTAAATCGTTTTGATAGAAACATAAATGGTACTTATTTAAATATATTATCACTGGTTTGGTGTAAAATAGTTAATATTTTCTGACCGAAATAATAATTTGAAATGTGCCTACCTCCTGCAAATGGACGTATTTGGCCAAGTTCTCCACTTTACTCCGCTGTTTATCGGTATCGTTTATGGTATCAAGAACATTTTAAACAAGTTTCAACTTGGTTTCAAGTAGACCATACCTGTTTAACCATCGACAAGGTAAATCCACAACTTTGTCCAAATTCGACGCCATTTTGTCATCCCATGTCGCTTGTTAACAATTCAGCCTTGTTACTCTTCCATCCAAGCCATTTTCATTCCACTAATAATAAATTTAACCCTTTATAACAGGAGGAAACTAAAAAATCTAAACAAAATATAAGAAATACGCCATTTTATCACCATGTAAAATTTTGCTCACGAGTCTTTCAAAACATTCCGTACAAATATCGTGTGACAAAGTAACAGGGACGTGACAGGAGGGGGTGAATTATTTCACGAAGATAGAAGAAGGCTGCGTGAAATAGACTAAAAGCTAAAGACAATCATACAAATGTTTGTTTTATTTCTTGTAGCGACAAATATATACATATTATTATTTATTAATATGAAAAAGTCATACAAATTAAATGTTGATTGTTGGTTTTACCATACTGTGTGGGCTTTCCTTTCATTTTTCAAGTCTCTACCCCCCCCTGTCATGTCCCTGTTGCTAAACCACGCGAGATTTGTACGGAATGTTTTGAAAGACTCGTGAGCAAAATTATACATGGTGATAAAATGGCGTATTTCTTATATTTTGTTTAGATTTTTTAGTTTCCTCCTGTTATAAAGGGTTAAATTTATTATTAGTGGAATGGAAATGGCTTGGATGGAAGAGTAACAAGGCTGAATTGTTAACAATGGTTCAATAATATAATTGGGGAGGACATAAAGGCACGCGATAAACTGTATTACAAAGCAAGGAAATATCAAACTGACGAAGATTGGGCAAACTACCGCATTGCAAAGAACAAAGTGACAAAAACAATAAGAAATGCGAAGAAAAATTACTTTAGTGATAAATTTCAAGAAAATAAACAAAACCCCAGTAAACTTTGGAACTTGATTAAAAATCTAACAAATGATGATGCTGGAAAAAATGAAAGTGTCAAATTTTTGACCGAAAATAGTACGACTTTAAAAGATAAAGTGACCATTGCTGAAACATTTAATCGCTTCTTTGTCGACCCGCAAAACAACCTCGCGTCCACCTCAGCGCCCGTAGAAATAGAACAAACACCAAATCTAGATCCTATTCCCCATGTCGATACTACATTCAGCATTCCCCCCATGTCAAAATTAAGAGTGATTGAGTTACTTCTATCCATCCCCGTTCATAAATCCACAGGAGACGATGGCATTAGCGCCAAAATAATGAGAATAGCAGCACCAGCTATAGCCGAACCATTAAGCCAGCT